CTTAGATAAAAGTGCAGAATGTGTTTAGGGAACAGCAGACAGTTGTTAAGTTCTGTTTTATTTCTATTTTTCTCCTGTTGCTTACACTTTCTTATTTGTCTTTAAACCAAAGATGCCATGAATTATATAATTTACCATCCTTTCAAACAACTCGTGTCCATTTGTTAAACTCTGCTGGCTTATGAGTTGCTGTGATGCTAGAAACTATGCCACCAGTATTTCAAATACCATTAGGGTCATCCATTGCGGGCAGACTTCAGTGGAGTTTCCACACTAGAACACAGTAGGAAGAAGAACCCGGAAATCAGCTTCTTAAAAAAATGGCCAGTGAAGACCCTGTGAATAGCAGACTATTGTCTTGGATAGCAGCAGCAGATGCGCCTCTAGCTGGAAGCATTACAACCCAACTAGGGGAGAGCTGTGCCTCTCAAAGTCAAGCCAGCGCTGAGGACGCTGGTGCGGTGAAGTGGTGAGGCCTCGTCTGCTGGTGGGCGTGTGCCTTGACTCAGAACGATGAGACAGCTGCAAACATCCGTAGCATGAAGCTAGGAAAATTGGGAGTAAAAACTGAAATGGAATACGGAAAGATTAATTTCCTAGGTAGTGGCTATTGGCTATGTATATCTATAAAACATGAATGTAGATCAGACCTGTTACTTTCCTAATTTTGGAGTTGATTTTAATTTTTGTTGTCCAACCTATGTTCCTATCTTCATTCAGATCATGACTTTATAGCCACTGAAATGGTTTACTAGGCCTTGCATGTGGGCTTAGCATTTAAATTCATTGTTATTAAACTACTTTTCAGAACGTGTTAAACTGGTCAAAGAGAAAATGACAGCAAAATCATGCTTAATACCCAGAAATTCTCTTGGATTTTTCAGCCATCATAACTTATAGAAAGGCAATTACAATTTAACATAAAGAACCATTGAAAATAAGTGGAAAAGATACCAGGGTTCCAGTTCACACTTGCACAGATTCATCCAAAGAAAATGTGTTCAGACATGTCTTGATGACCCTTGGATGACGACAGAGAAATGGTCACAGTTATATATTTGTCTTGATCTCGTTACTCTCTTTTCAGGACCACTGTTCAATCAAAACGGTGGCTTCTCAAGGGGTCTGCTGGGCTAGTTAGATTCAAGAGAGACGTTTATGGTGCTGGTTTGGTTTTGTTTGTTTCCATTCCAAAGGTGTAATCTTGATAGATTTTTCTCAGAAGACACAGGATCCCCAGGGGGCTTAACCATGATGTTTCAAGAAAATGAAAAACTGTATTGATGAGAAAGAGACCAGGAAAGTTTCACTGAGAAGTTTCTTCCATTACCACAATATCCTGGCTCATTCTTCGGTGATAGTAAGGGCTGTCCTACAAGATTTTCATTGTGAAAATCAAAATAGCCAATTCTAATCCATTTCAGTTCAGGAATGCTTAGGATATTGATCTTTCTTCATGAGTTCCATTTCATTTATGACAACATTCTATTTTCCTAAATCCATACTTCATACATTCCCTAATCCAATTATTGTGAGAT